ACCGCAAAAAACGTTTTTATCCCCAAAACTGATGTGAAATCTGACAGCTTCTTCCAATAAACAGGTGAACAGCTTGGCTTTAGCTTCCTGGATTATACCTTACGTTAACGGCCAAATTTTTACAAAAAAAATCTAAAATTTGAAAATTTAAGCTGAAAAAATAGTTCTTTAACCCTACTCTCAAACATATACACTAAAGTATACCTTTAAAACATAGTTTTCAACTTTTTAATACTAAAAACAACCTAAAACCCTAAGGCTGCAAAATGAAAAATAACCGAGAGATTGTCAACCAACAAGTCTTGGCACCTTTTGGCTAGCTGACAAACAACATCACTTATCTCCTAATCATTAGTCTTACATTATACCCGACCATCATAATATTTTTGTTATGGTCTAACAGCTGTTTTTAAGGCAATTTTCGGCTACTTTTTACGGTTTAGGGTAGTTTTTAGGCTAGTTTTAAAAAAATCTTATATTTAAAAAATTAAAAAAAACAAAAAAAATAATTATATTTTTGGTAATAGTAATATAAACAATTGTTAAAATAGCCAAAATAACAGCTAAGATAGAAAACAAACCCTAAAAGAGCTAAAACAATACCTAAAAAGCCAAAATAATATCTAAAACAAAAATTTTTGAAGATTCGACCAGTCGAAAAGTCGCGTTCCTTTTAATTTTATTTTGCTCCAGCCCGGACCAGCCCGTCCCCCAAGTCTACCCGCAACCCGATCACATTAAAGCCCTGAGGACATTAAAACAAAATTCGGAACATGTTTTGCCTCGAAAAGAGAATTAACGTCGAGAGTCTCGAAACAGAATCCTTTGCATAAAAAGTGGGAATGCAAATAGAAAAAAATTATTTTTTAGACCGCAGGGCCTGAATGTTCACTGCCATAAAAATATAAAGGAAAAACACGTCAAGATGTGCGGAAAATAATACACGGGATAATTGTTATGGCACTCGGGTACAATGACATTTCTGACTACATTACTGTAGACGAGAGGAATAACATGCCGAGGGGCGTAGTGAAGTATGGTTTATCACAGGAAATGAAGTTTTATAGTGGAAAATAGTGAAAAAAATCAAAAATAAGATTTTATTAACAATTAACATTTTATGATGACTAAACGAGTGTTAACAAATTTAAAAAGGTACTTTCCTATTTTTCATTGAACCCTTCTTTTAAATAATGCTGTCAAAGCTTGCTATAGTAAAGTAAAGCCATTAAATTGAATAGTAAAATAGACTAAACGTTCAAAACAAACCTTATTATGGTTAACCTGCCATTTGTTTTTACCAACCCCAAGAGGTCGTACGACTACTTTAATATGTACAAAAATACTCGTCACTTCCGTTATAACATAGACCCCTCTATCTTTGTACTATACCTAAATACTATTGTTACATATAGACTATATCCTTTATATATCTCTAAAATCTACTTTATGAGACTTCTATAAACAACTACTATAATAAAGTTGTCAATTATAGAATTTTCATAAAGTAAATTGTAAAGTTTTATAATTGTAAAAGCTTAAAACAATTGAATTGCCTACAAATTTTTGCTGTTAAGTATTGTAAGAGCCACTATATTACAAATTATTATAAAACCAAACTTTAGATACCAAAGTAAAGCAGCCTAAATTACAATTCGAACCCTAACATGACACATGTCATCAAAATACAAGTTTCAAGTTGCACAGTTAACGATACAAGTTTAACTTTAATCAGTACCTTAGCTCAGACATCACAAGTACAAAATAGAGCAAAGATGGCAAAAGCTAGGGAAGAGAGTAATATATAGTTTAATATATTAACTAGAAAAAAACTAATCCCAAAGTCGACTTTCAAGATTAGTAACGCATTTTCATTAAAACGGTTATAAATGTAAACCCTACATCTAATCTTGTAAGACAGATTTACTTTTGAGGATGTAGTAGAATTCGTATTTTAGCAAATAAAAATTGTAATAAAATAAAAACTTTTTTAAAAATTTTTGAACAAATTAAAAGAAGATTTTTTATTTAAAAAACAGTTTTAAAATCCAAACAAAATTTGAAGCGCTTCAAACAACATGACATTCCCTATCTTCGCCCCATGGCAACATTCACCATCTCTGAATTACTGATACACTAGAATCGACAAATTTGTTCCGTCAAAAAAGGTTGAGAAAAGTGGTTATTTTGCCCAAAAAACACTCTTCTTCTCCCCCTAAGGCCGTTCAGGAAACGGAGCCTCCCTCTCCCCTATTTAATGCTCCGTATAAGGCCACAAATCCATCTGAAAAAACACGAAAATCTTGTTTTTGAGGCGACGAGGACCGTGGAACCGTTCATCAAGGTCGGAGATTAGTCAGCCCGGCTAGCCGATAAGAAACAATAAAACAAATAAATACCGGGCCGCGAGCAAATATTTGCGCAACGATGATAGGGCACGTCGAGGGGGAACGGCACGGCTTAAGTTGCAAATGACGAAGTCGAGAGTTGAGTGCTGCAAAGTCAAGAAAGAGAACGGAGGCTGCCACTCTTTTATAGAGGCTGCCACACCCTTATAGAGGCTGCCATACTCTTATAGAGACTGCCATACTCTTATAGACTTTAAGGCCAAAGTAGGACAAAGAAGAGTATAAAGGGAAGACCACAATGTACTATAATATAAGGAAGACTGTGGTGTCAGGGTTGGCTACAATAAGTATTTTTAATTTGTTTTTCCGTTCTCTTAATTGTACGAACGTTAAAAAAACGAAAGTACGTGCACTATTACACGATATTTTCGACGTAAAAATGCTTAATATAACGCAAAGTTTAAAAAATTTAGAAATAATCTTACTAAAATAAAAAAAAATTAATAAAAAACTACCATACCAGAGCACTATTTATACAAGCATGCTTTTGCCCTATTACGTAGCCCAAAGACAGTCTTACAAATTTTGTCTAATTGAAAATAACAAATCAATCAGTACAAGCATTCGTACTCTCTACGCCTACTGTTTAGGAAAACGGTAGGAAAATAAAAGTGCATTTTGTGTTTTTCACTAGGTCGAACTTGAAATCAAAAAGCCATGGATGTCCTAACACGATAAAGTGTCAAAAAAGTATGTTAAATAGACTATGTAGACCTGAAAAAAAGGCTTACTAGAAGCGGCAGGCCTGCCTTACAGATCGGACTATGTTAAAATAGACTATGTATACCTGGTAAGAACAACGGTCTAGCCCAAAGCCTAAACAATTTTTAAAGAAGCTACCCTAAAAGATTGGACCCGGCGGCCCTCTTAAAGGTCTATAACAATTATATGTCTATAAAGTGAAAATAAAGCACAGATATTGTAAAACATATTCTATGTAAAGTATATCAACAAACATTTTTTGTTGTATACTAGTGTAACTTGTAATCGCTATAGGTCTGTTGTGAACAATATTCAAAAACTTTCTATTTTTAAAATTAATAAGTTTTTGTACTATTAAAGTGAAGCCTTAGTTACAATTCTTTACAATTTTCAGCAACAAATGAAGCTGTAAAGTGTAATATAATAGAAGAGATATAACTTATATTATATAAGCTGAGCCTATTACACTTGTTGAAGGATTCTTATAATAGAATAAGCCTACACGATTTAAAGACGGCCTTTGTTGTGTACATAGTTTCATAATTTGATTTTGTAGAGTTACATGCTTAAAATTGCAAAGCAAACTGGAAGATATCTATTGACCATTGAAAATACTAATCTTTATAATAAGTTATAAAGCTGACCTGTAGGTTCTTGTTACAGAAGTATACGAGTAAAGCAATAACTATATTGTATTACTCATTGACTTATTAGCTACCCTACGACACCAAAACAAAAGACAAGCACCACAAAAAGTTGGAAAACGCTTACAAATGTAAAACGTATTCGAATACAGCTTTGGAAGTTTCGAGAGTTTCGAGGTGACAGGTCATGGATAAGGTGGAGGCCCTGAAGAAAGGACATTCTCGGTTGACTGGACTTAAAAAGAAGACGGGGGATTGACTGTTCTGCCTTCTCAAAAGTGGGCCACGCTCTCCTCCGTCCTCCCGTAGGGCCCGGCTTCAAGGCCCGAAGCCCTTCTTCACAAAAGCCACAGAAAACGCGTCAGCGTGACATTATTTGTTATTGTCCGGGAATACAGGCCCTTCAGCCGTTTGTTATAAACAAGTATTTAACAACGGAAAACAAGTAAGATCTCCACTAAAGTGACATAATTTATGGATGAACAGAGTTACAATTCCATTTGCTCTTTAAAGCGGAAGCCAAGGAGGAACGTCACGGAACGGCGGCCAAAACAACCCCGCGTTCTTCGGCCTGCCAGCCATTGTTTATGCCGTAATAACCGAAACTTTTAATATCCTTGATTAAATTTCTTACGAAAATATATTTTTAGGACAAAGTTTTGCTAAAAATATAAATTTAGGTAACATTGACAGACATTTTTTTAAAAATATAAATTTAGGTAACATTGACAGACATTTTTTTAAAAATATAAATTTAGGTAACAATAGCAGCTAGTTTAAGTTTTAAAAAGAAGTTTGAACACTTTGACGTTGTACTATTGCTGTTGGGAGAGCAAGTTGCAGGAAACGTATTGGGTTCCAATGCAAATACATTTAAAAATGACCTTTAAACTTTAAGTTTAAACTTGGTTAAGTGAACATGTCAACATACAATTTAAAGGTTATGTTAAAGAATTTAATGTCAAGAATGTCTCAAACAAAAACCCTATAGTTGTATTCATACAATCAGTGATAAAAACTGTTATTTCTGAAATAATTTAAACCTTGAGTATCTATACCGTTTACAGCCTTAAGCTGTTAACATAAACTACCAAATCCTCTTTGCTTTGGTATGACATACTCTTTGTTACTCATAAGTTTCCGTCTTTGATCAGTTCCAAGGCTTTTTGTCGAGTGATATGATAATATGATTAGTAAGACAAAAAGGACGATTCCTTATCACAATCAGTTTCATTTCTTTATTAACATGAAGCCGGCGGGCTTTCACCTCCTGTTGTACTTGTCCTTATTGTTGCTACTGTTTCAAGCTGAAGCTATAGATGTGGGAAGACTAGTGCCAGCCAGACAAGTCATTCAGGAATATCTGGATGAGAGGAGCACTGAAAATGTAAGTTATCTTTGTTTTTTATTTGAAACTTTTGATTTGAACCAAAATTTATGACTTTGATAAAGAAAACTTCAAACCTTTACAGTTATTACGGCATACTTTCAGACAAAGACAAGACATTTTAGTTTAAAGTTAAAAAGATAATATTATTTTTAATAAAGTAGCTCTTAAATTTACAACCCTTAATATGATCTTTGTATGATAACAAATAGTTGCAAGTATGATAATCAGATTTTAAGTACAAATTTTGTTTTATATTGTGTTTTATGTGTTTAAACACAAAAAAAATAACAATGAAGTTTCACTAATTTCAAAAATTACAATATAAGATAATAGTACTAGATTGCCCATACTGTATCGTAGCTCTGTTTGCTATAATTATCACAATTTTGTGTTTCTGGAGGGTAGAGAACTTACAGCACACTAAATTTTAAAAATTTGAGGGTGTTATGGAAGGGTGAGATTGTATAGTGATAAGACATGTTCGGCCTTGGGACGTGAAAATGCCGGACGCTAATCATTTTTTAGTTTTAGTTATTATTATTGTTTCATAGTTACCAGTGCTTGATGTATGTTCAACCCTTTTTCTAAAATGAGTTTAAATAGGAAAAAATTTAGGGTCGAAGTCAAACGCAGCTTGGGACAGCTTTAATCGTATAAAAAGCACCAAACTCAAAATACATCGGCGATTTTTTTTGCGATTTTGTAAAGAATCTTGACTTTTCTTACTCCTGAAGCAATAGCTACTCTTAATTACATCCAAATGTTTTGTAATTTAAATATGGCTATATTTTAGCTTTACCAGTCACAAAGATTCAATTTGATTGATATTATATTCTCTCTGGATGCCAATCAAACAAGGATTTCATCAGAATGTCGGACGGATATGAAACGTATGCAGAACAGCATTCTAATGCTGTTCCTTGGCAAAATGGATGAGTTTACTGGCAAAGTGATAAGTGGTAAGTGTTTTATGGTTTATATTGTTCTTGGCGCTTTTCTCAAGGCCAGGAGGTGCAGGTCTGAAGGAGAGGAGCCAACTTAGCTGAGTAAGCAAAAATAATATCCCTTTTTGCTTCTAGTTAGTTTTTTAATTTTACATTTATTTTAAACTGCAATTTTTGAACTTTAAAGATTCTTCTGTCAATTACCTTGTTTTAGATGTCTTTGTCTTTAAAAATCAGATTAATAGTGGTTGTGTAGGTGTATTTTGTCAATGACATTGATTTAGCAGACGTTTCAAACTAATTAAAAGTTGCTTTGCCTCATATGACGATCAAATTTTTTAAAATTAACTTTTACAACATTGTTATCACTTTATGTTTATTTTGTTTTAATTTTGCATTCCTTGGTGGTTATCTTTGCTTAATATTATAATGCACAAAACATAAGCACGCTTATAAGCATTGTACCTAAGTTGTAGTTAATAGTTTTGTAAATTGATAACCAAAACGAATCATATCTGATTATGATCTTTTTGTATTAGGTTGTTAACATAATTCATAGTTTAAAATACATTTTTTGAATTGAATGAACAAAGTTTGATACCTTATTAACAAAAATGTTAAGTTTAGATCCTTTTGTAAACTGAAAAAAGTATTTATGTTGATCAGAACAACCAGAAAAGTATTGACCAAGTAAATGAAAGTTTATTTTGAAACTAGCTTGTGGATGACCTTTACAAGATCAAACAAAGGACAATCCTAATCTAATTACTTACACTTTTACAACAAAAATGCTGTTTCAAACTTTGTAAAGTAAACAATTGTACCTGGAAACGGACAAAAACATATAATGAAAGTTTGAATTTCGATTTAAAAATAATATTTTAGTTCTGGACAGCGGGGGAAAGCCAGGAGCTGGACTGACAAAGCTGAATACCGTCTTCGAAGGTATCAAAGATGCTTGTCTCGAGATTGAGCATTACTTTCACGATTCAGAACGACCGTTCAGGGGACAATTTGTTAAGTAAGGTTTTATTATTGGCTAGAAAAATATAATTATCTTTCAAAAAAGTCTTATCAGTTTTCATATTTTTGTAAGTTTTAAAAATATGTGGTATTTTATTGCTAAAAATAGGTTTAAAAAGAGCTTTTTTTGCCAGTTTTGGATTTTTTGGCCCAAGGTGATCCAGAGAATCTGAAGCAGAATCTAAGATTCATTGTTTAAATCACAGTACGAAAGGGCTCTACAATGTGTTAGAGTACAGGGAGGAACTTTGATTAGCACGTAGCTTATTATTAGTATAATGGAATGGTTTTAGAGCCGAGTTGAGTTACTTGGACGCCAACAGGACGGGAAGATGTGACAATCGTCAGATGAACTTCTTTTGGGACCTCTGTCTTCCGGAATCTTGCACTCATGCTGATCTTATGTTAATGCTTGGTTCTAGTAAGTGTTCAGAGTATCTAATATTTTCGAATTTTTTTTTTCAATTTTTGTTTTAATTTTTTAAATTACTTACTTATTTAAAAACATCATTTGGCATAATCATTGCAAATCAAAAAATTGATTATATAAGTAGTATAGATGTTTTAATTCTAATTTACTGATTCCAGATACGACGATCTTCAAAAAGACCTTCTACACTCATCTGTGTGATGTTCATCTGTTGGCTGAGAAAGAACCTAACTGGAATTATCAGTCTTATATTACCTTGTAAGTGTGTTTGTAATTCTACTTTTTTATATTATGTTGTTCAGATAATCCTTTGTCCTTTCTTGAAAAAATTTTTTGGTGTTATGAGGCACATAATTATTTGAACGATCTAATGTAATATTTCGCTTTGTGTTAAAATATGCTAATATAAAGTTTAGGGGATACATGGCACTACTGACTGGCCTTGTTGTGATAGCTTCTTTAATTGATGTTGTATTATCAGAAGATTCAAAGAAAAGTAAGATTTAGGCTTCTTTACTCGAATGAAATGTAAAATACGATTTTTTTAATTGCTCTGTATCAAAACTCTTAAATTATTTATATTTCAGCTGGTGGAGCCTACTTCATCTCCTCGTTCTCCATCTTCAACAACATCTCCGAGATCATGAAGGTGAAGAAGAACAAGGTCGGGCAGATCAACCAGCTGCATGGTATTCGCTTCTTGAGTATGTGTTGGATCATCATGGGGCACTCGTTGATGATCTCCAGCTTCCTTAGTGCCAATCTGCTCGATGCTCTTCAGTCTACCAAGAAGTGGACTATCATGATACCTGCTCTTTCGTATTATGCTGTGGATACCTTCTTCTTTCAGTCCGGCTTCTTGCTTGGGTTTTTGTGGTTCAGAGGATACGATAAGAGCCCTAAGGCGGTGACTTCTGTCAGTTCGTGGATTTTGTTTTATGTTCACCGGTTCTTTAGGTATGTTGAGGTACATACATGAGTATGTTTAAAGGTGGTGTTGATATTTTTGTTGTTATTAAGACAACCTTGTGATTTTTTTTGTATGACATATATATTGAGGTGAGCGATATCGAAATTTTGTAGCTATTGTAATATATAAAGTACTGGTTTATTGATTTCAGGTTATCACCAGCATATTATATTGTAATAGCGTTCTACACCTTTGTATTCTCTCAATTAGATGTTATGGTGAAGTCGCCAATGTTCCTGGGATCTCCGTCTGATAAACTGTCATCATGTCCAACATTATGGCAGTACAATCTACTTTACATCAACAACTTCATGTTCGATTCTAATCCGGTAAGTTATCTTAACTTCAATCAAATACAGTAAAATATAGTTGTTACTATGGTATTCTTTACATCTTTGTTCTTTACTATTTTGAGTGAAATAGTATACATAGTCTTTAGTTTACTCAGTTACATATTATACATAGTAACTGAAGATAGCAATTAGCCTAAGACTACTTAATAATTTGTTAATTACACACCTTCTACAAGGTTTTAAATAGTTTTTACGTAGTAATTTACGTATGCAGTTACAATTTATATTTCTAAAGGTATATGTCATCACATTATGACAATAGTTTGATTTCACATAGTAACAGCTAGTTATGACTTCAAATGTTGTGTTGACATATACTGTGAAGACATAAATATTGACTATGTTATAGTAGATATTTTATAATAATATTGTTATGAAAACGATATAACAGCACAATAACTGACACGTTACATATTAAATTACATTACTGTGGGTTTGACGCAGTATTTACTATTTACAACATGTAGCATGTTGACATGTGAATGAACTTGGAAACCTATTTTTGAAATTGTAATTACATTGTAAAGTGACTTGACATAATCAATTACATTAAAATGAATTACTGTGATTGAGTTGGAGTTAGAGAGAACTTGGTGTAAGAGAGAAATACTGCAGTTGGTATTCTAAGAAAGTAACAAAGTTAATCAGGTTTACTGTAATGTCAAAATATGTTAAGGGTAGTAATTGCTGTTCTCTTGGACTTTCATTTTTGTTTAAGTTTACTCTTTTTTTTGTTACAGTATACTAATAGCATCAAAGCACTAACAACACAAACATTATAAATTTGTTGATTCTATGTTTACAACTTACTTTTTAGTGCTATATAGTGTCATGGTACTTGGCGACAGACATGCAACTTTACATTGCAGCTCCATTGTTGATAGTGCCATTTTTACTGAGCAAACCGTTGGGTTATTTTGTGTCATCAGCTCTGCTTATCGGTAGTACTGCCTTCACTTTTACTGTAACCTTCATACACAAGCTAGCACCGTACAACTTTGACTTTGGTGCTACTGATCCTGAGACTGATTGGACGAGAGAGTAAGATTTTATACTTAGCTTTCTTCTACTTTACTGTACTACAACTTTACTTATTATGGTCTTATGGTAGTTCATTTCTTCAGCTTTACCTTATCTTCTGAGTCTTTCTCTATTTCTAGCTTTACTTTATAGCTGTACCCTTGCTTTACACTAGCTATTACAAAATATATTGACCTTTTTTTCTATTTTTAGTCATTTTTGATAGTGTTGTACTGTCAACGTGACTATTGCAACAAGTTTAAAACAGGGTTTCGTTGTAAAGTGTTTAAAGTAGTAACTGTTATACTACTCTATACCTACAACTCTGCCTCTGCGTCATAACTACAATCAATAAAGAAAGGTCTTCGTATAAAATCTTTAAAAAAAGTCTTGTCGTGAATTTAAATATTTTTTTACTTTTAAAAACGACAAGATTTTTCGTTTGAAGTTAATTACGAAATCAGATAAAATTATAAAATTTTAGTGACTTTGAGAAATGGATGTACAATCCGCCATGGACAAGATGTCAGCCCTATATAGTCGGGTTTCTACTTGGCTATGTCATGCACAACCGACTGAAGGTGAAGCTAAACAAAGTACGTTTACATTGTAATAGTAGTAGTCAGGTTGAGTTGTTTCACGTGAAACGACAAAACTGACCGCACTGTTCTTCCCCATGACAGCCGGTTTTTCTGGAATCAACTTTTTATTACTTTGTGTATTCAAATGGTTTAACTGAGTTATATATTATAGTAACATCTCTCAATTATGATAAGGCGGTTGAACGTTATATTCGCATTTATCTGTACTTTATCACAGTTTACTTTGTGCTGTACAGTATATGCACAGTATGTGTTATATAGTGCGTAATATCTTCAGATCGTACTCCTGATAGGATGGATTTTGGTATTCGCTGCCATCTTTGCTGTATATTACCCCATCAAAGACTGGGTGGGTGGTGAACCGATGGACTTGATACCACGATCACTATATGCATCGCTATCTCGCTTGGCATGGTCATATATCATTGGCTGGGTCATATTCACATGTTACTATGGCTATGGTGGACCAGTCAATCGGTTCTTGAACTGGCCTGGTTGGGTACCGCTTGGAAGGTTATCGTACTGTGCCTATTTGATACATCTCTTCATTGTGGTATACTTTATGTTGTTGTATCAACACAAGCTGCTATTTTTGGATTTGGTACAAATGGTGAGTTATGTAGTTATTTTAGCTTATTATATTATTCTATATATTAGGTTGTCCGGAAAGCTCTGCAATATTTATTCACTTTTGAACTAACAATAATAACAATATAATTAACAACTACAATCAATCAAAGTAATTACCGTCTGAATCAATACAGTCTTGCCAACGATTTACAAGCTTTTTTATTCCACGATTGTAGAATTCCGGGTTTCTGGAGTTGATGAAGTTCTTGAAGGCATTCTTGGCATCGTCCGGAGTTTTGAAGATTCTTCCATTAAGAAACGAAGACAAGTGTTTAAAAAGGTGAAAGTCCGTTGGAGCCAAGTCTGGAGAATAAGGAGGGTGCTCCAAGACTTCGTATCCCAGTTCCCTGAATTTTGCCACGGTCTTCTTTGCAGCATGGGGCCGTGCGTTATCCTGCAAAATGATCGGACCCCTCCTTCTGACCATTGTTGGAAGATTGTGTCGCAGTTTGTCAATCTGGGCACAGTAGGTGTCGGCCGTAATACTTTGGCCAGGTTTCATGAAATCGTACTGGATCACTCCAGAGCTACACCACCAGACAGTCACCATAAGCTTCTTTTCGTGCAATTCTGGCTTCGGAACGGGCTTAGGAGCTTCTCCACGCTTACACCAACTTGTAGATCTTCTAGTATTGTTAAACGAGATCCACTTCTCGTCAATAGTTACAATTCGATCCAAGAATTCTCCGTTTTTGCAGCGTTGCAGAAGCTTTTCGGAAGCACACCGTCTCTTGGCTTTTTCCAGATCAGTCAAATTGTGAGGCACCCATTTGTCCAACTTTTTGACCATACCCATTGCCTTCAAATGATCATCAATGGTACTTTTTCCACAGTTTAGTAACTCTTCTAACTCCCGGATTGTAATATGTGGGTCATCTTCAATCTTGCGCCTCAGGGCATCTTTGTCAAGTTTGCTGGGTCTTCCTGCACGTGGTTTGTCTTCAAGCTTCTCATCGTCCACACGAAACTTTGCGAACCATCTGGTCACCGTAGAATAACTCACAACATTCTTACCCTCATTTTCGTTTATGATTCTGAAGGTTTCTGCCGCAGTATTTCCGCGTTTGAATTCATTCCATATAATCACGCGCAGGCGAGATTTCTCCATTTTTTTTCTAATACCTAAAACAATACAAAAAAATGAAATTAAGTTATGTAACTTACCTTTTTGAATAATTTAGGTAATAAACAAACAAACAAAAAAAGAATTTTTTCTTTCCGTCAAGAAATAAATTTTTCCTGATTTTTCAAAGTTTACCTACTCTAATATTGCAGAACTTTCCGGACAACCTAATAGTATTTTTTGACGGTTAATATGTGATTTAGGGCTAGTACTATCACAATATTTTACTATCTTCACCTTAGTTCAGCTTATAGTGTGTAGTTAAGTACTAAGAAGTACGTTAATGAATAGAAAAGACGTCGTATTTTGCCTAGAAAATGTAAAAAAGGTGTTATTGTGACATTGCAAGGTAACTATGTCACAAATTTTATTATGCCACATGTTTGTGCCATTTAATTAAATCTCATACCAAGTACAATATAAAAAACAGGTTTTTTGTGCATTTTCTGTTATGGGTCGACCTGTAATGATATTCACGTTTTGCAAGATATTCACAATAACATGACGTACTCAAGTGAATATTCAGTGTTTATGACTTTAATTTATGCTTATTTAGGGCATAGTGTTAAGAAAGGGCATTAATGCTTGCTCTAGTCAAAAATTTTTTTTACAAATTTTCAAAATAACTTACAGGGAAGATGACCGACCTGCCCGGCTATGATTGACTTTAAACTTTTTATATAGAACGATCATGTACATATAAGATATTTAGCAAATTACAAAATCGAGTTTTCCAGGAATTCTCGAAAAATTCGAGATCAAAAATTACGTTTTAAATTTCCCGGTCAAATTGGCATTGTTTTTCAAGCTTACAATTTTGTCATTCTTTGTCTTGTTATCAATTTTCAAACTCAAACATTTAAAAATTAAAACTCGAAAGCGCAAGCTAAAATTTCTTATAGGTACTATTGCTAGTACAACGAATTTATTTAAAAATTTTGAGCTTCTTCTGAGTGGGGCAGGTTGGGTACTTTCCTTGTTTATATTACCCTCCATACCAGACTAAAACTGCCTATCTTGTACTACTTGAGATGTTCGCTGTCTTTTCATAGCTAGTCATGATGTATAATGTTTACAACTGTCATCAGTTTACCTTTATTTATATGATGTATGTTTATGATAATGTAACTTTTTATTTGTAGTTTTTACTGTTTACCGTGCCAATTATAACCTTGACTTACTTCGTTGCCATATTCTGGTCGGCCATCTTTGAACTTCCGATAGCCAAGGTAAGTAATGTTGATTAAGGTATGGTACTATACTCAAAAGAGTTTAAAAATCTTGTAAGTTCCAAAAATTTTAACTTTTTTAAAATTTTGAAATTTGTTAAAATATTTTTAAATTTTGTGAAATTTGAATTTTAAGACCGTTCTAAATTTAAAATTTTAAACTAAAACAGGCCCTCTGATTACAAAAGTCTTACAAAACATTACTTACGCAGCTCCAGAATTACCGAGCAAATAAATGTTTCCGCATTTTTGTCGCTGTAATGTTATGTTGTTGTGAATGTTTTGATCAGCGACACGTGGTCCGAGCAGCTGACGCATCAACAATAACATACGATAAGTAATTCGGTGTACGATAGCTGGAGTAATTTGGCTTACACTGTGGATGGTTGAGAGTAATGTGACATACAATCAGATTACGCTAGAGTAGTTGGGCTTACAATAAGGGAACTGTGGAGTAGTGTAATATACGATAAGATCACTAAAGGTGGTGATTTCATGAGGTATACAATAAGATTACTACATATTAGTTAGACTGACCATAAGGAACCTTAGAGTAGTGTGATATACTATAAATTGATGAAACTTGACATGGCATACGATAAGCTTACTATAGAGTAATGTGACATACGATACGCTTTTTCTAGAGTAGCTTGGCTTACTATAAGCTAATTGGAGGGTAATGCAATATACAGTAAGTTCGCAAAAGAGTATTGTGGTATACATTAAGGTTAATGAAATATGACTTGAACTATTATAAAATTACTATAGAGTTATATGACATACGACAAACTTACTATAGTGTAGTTTGGCTTACATTAAGGTCAACAAACAGTAATTTGACACACACTACAGCTGCTCGAGAGTAGTGTGACATACAATAACATCGCTAGTAATTTGCAGAACGTTGTATATTACTGTGTAACTTTACTGCAACGTATCTTGTAAATAAAAAAACTTCCAAATTTCAAAAAGAAAACTCAGTCTTACAACATTAAACATCAAACAGCCATCACTTCCAGGTAGAAGCCTACATTATCAAGCACATGATGAACAAGAAACGAAGGGCTACTGTAACAGTGCCCATCACAACACCCCCTAATGACAGTAATTCGGAAGGGGATACTGTAAAACTAAAGAATGGAGACGTTCTGATCGCTTCTTCCGATCCTAACGAAGCTCCACTGGAGTACGATGTTCAGGAAAACAGAACGACGTCGGTTACTGTAGCTGAGGATTCAGTTACAGTAGGACGAGATGCGGTTTTTGTAGCCAAAGAGTTGAGGAAAAGCTTCTTGGCTTCGGCTCCAGAACACAGCGATTCTGAATACGAAAATGACATACGTTTTTGATTGTTAATGGTTAATGTAAAAGTTTAAAAATTAAATTTTAAAATATTTAAAACTTAGGTTTTTGGATTGTTTTCGTTGTGGTATCTAGCGTGATATTGTTGATGGTCAAATGATGGATAATTCTTTTAAAGGATATGTTTTAAGGATATATGGTTGTTTAAATAATTCTGGGCCTTTTAAACTCGAAAATAATGAGGGGGCACATAATTATTTGAACAAATTAACAAAAACAACTTACTTCGAAATTCAAAAAAGGTTTGTTAAGAATTGGGGGCACAGAATTATTTGAACAATATTATATAACAATATTTTTGTTGATGATTTCGCCACATAATGTTAAAAATGGCAAAGCTACAAATCCTTTTTTCAAAATTTGAAATTCAAGCTTACTGTGATGTTGTTTGATGCCATAAAAAGATGAAATGATGCCATTTTTGCATATTTTTAACGCAAAACCAGTTGACTTTACCTTATCCACTGCTAAGCGTATATGTTCACGTTTCACTGTCGGTTTACATTGTAGTTGTTGTAAGCGGGTTATACGAGATCGGCTTCGGTTTGGCTTACGTTACATAACATGTAAACAACTTTCCAGAAGCTTCAAATTTTGATAATTAAAATTTTAAAAATTAAAAAAACATTTTTAAAATTTTGATTTTTTTGAGGTATTTACTTTACATATTCAAGCGTCTACAATTACAATTCGGGAGATATAGATTAGATTAGTAGTTTGATGCCGTAGATTGTAACGTACTGTGCTGATGTGCAAGGATGTTCAAGGTTCAGATGAAGACCAACGGAGCAATCCTTGAGTTTGACGTTTCCCATAATTGGGCCTCTTCCCAGGTATTTCACTGTTTCTCGCGTCACTGAGTCGTGGGTGAGGTGCTCCATAAGACTTCTGGCGTTCAATCATATACTCGTGTAGGCCAAGTATAGATGTGCCTAGTCCCCGTGCACTCAGCACTACCCATTCCTCAAGGCGCCTGGGTAGGGCGGTGCGCGGGGTCAAACCAAGGTCCTTCCAAATAGCCCCAATCTACAATATTTTCAAAAATATGTTTTGACCAAACCGTTTACCGAGTAAAAGTAACATTCTGTTTGGCATGTTTTTGATAACAATTTTGGAATAACACCACGCGGTAAATACGGGCAAATGTTAAAGTACGAAAGCTGTGTCAATATTATTTATTTTTATAACATTTGTATTTACTCTACAATAAATATTATGAATCTACAGTGGACAGTAAACAGATATGATGCGATTAGGAATAAATAAAAGTTGAGACCGTTAACAATACCGAGATCAACGAATGAGGAGGAAGGCAGTAAGGTACCCGCAACGTAACACTACATATGTAAACTAATTGGCTAGAGGAGACACGGTAAAAACACCCTACAGTATGATGATGGGCACGTCCGAGTTGCCCATGACGCACATGCAGCTGGTGGGTAGGAGCACCTCCTCGCCTACCCACTGGACGCGGCGCGCACCCGCCGGTCGTACTCGCACCTTTTGCCATGTGAACACGGTGGCGCACGTCGAGTCGTCGGCGCACGAGCCAACGTTCTCCAGCGTCGAACAGTAGTTCACGTCGAAGCGCTGTGCTGGGTCTACATCGACGAAAGTTTTGGAGTATTTGCCTGGAATTGGGTTGATAAGTTATGTTGTGATAAGGGATTTTTGGGTATAAAGTTGCTCAAAGATAAAAAGTTTTGATTCATAAGTTATTGATAAGTAATGCCTACTATATATAGGTTATGCCTACTATAAGTTAAAGAATAAAAGCATTTTCCAATCAAAATAATTGATAAAATCACGAAATTCAAAAAGTGATCGCAACTCACCGTAAGCTTGTTTGATGTCAACGTTCCGTGCTGCTACCTCGACGCACGGTTTCCTCCGGGCGACGGTCATGTTCATGCTCTGACTGTAAAAGCCCTCGACTTGGATTTTGTTGACGATGGAAATGAGATCGTCGTCGGTGAGGCCGTCGGCCGCGGCCAGGTAGGAGGCGGAGGCCAGGAGGATGCAGGTTAATAGTAGCGAGTTCATTCTAATTGTAACCCCGAAAGAATACACTTGTTTCTTTGCGGAAATACGCGCCTTATATAGGGTGGGGATATCCAACGGATTAACACTTCTGTGGCGGGGCGGGGCCGCGAAGAGGGAGGGCGAGAGAACATATCAAAATAGCGGTGCAAGGTTTACTCCGAAACACTCGAAGGGGTGGAGCTTGGGGCTGGAGGCCGTGGACGGGGGGGGCGAGTGTAAGAGATCGTTGCGTCATGATGGTAATTGTTTGTAAATTAAAATTGCACTTTGTTTGTTGTTTGTTGTAGTTGTGGTTGTAAACGGAATGTTTCACGGAACTTCCTACGCTTTCGGGCGAGCACGGAACCGATTCTTAATTAGCACGGTACCTGCATCTTTGGTTTTATGTAATTTTATATTCTGGTCGTATGTTTCGTGTGACATTGTATGTTGGAGGTAAAATGTGTCGTATGTTTGAGGTTAAATATATCATATGTTTAATTTTATGTCGTATTTTTGAAGTTATACTATATATTTGATGTTTTGTTATGTGTATATTAGGTTTTTTTTTATTTAGAATACCTATAATGTTGTTGTATAAGTAACCTTAACTTTGTTTATTACTTTACTTTCTGCAAAACTTTTACTTTGTGTTTGTACCTGATCTTGACTGTGTTGGTATGTTACAACTAAACTATACTCGGTATCTTCAAAACGTACAAGATACGTATATCTACAAGCTCAAAGTACCCATATCTACTTATAAACAAGCCAATTGTAACAACAAGATGTACGTAGATGTCAGGTCGGAACGTACGATGATATGTAGAAAGTTGTTTTCTCACGTATCTTGTTTGTAAATAAACGTACGCCAGTGCTTACAGCATCGTTTGTGGCATTAAACTGATTATTTTACATAATGTTTACTTGGTATGATTACTGTGTTGGTGTTATTACTGTGATATGTTGGTATGTTTACTCTGTTGTTGTTATTACTGTGATATGTTGGTTACACTTACGGCGATATATGTTCTACTGGCTTATATATGTATGTGTTTGTGGTGTGTGATACATGTTTGCGTTTACTGGGCTGTAAATCACTTTGTTTTACATTTACAATCTTGTTTGTTCCTCAACAGTTAAAATAATGTAAAAGTGTATATGTATCAGAGAAGTTACATTGTGTACTTATGTATGTAAGTGTTTATGTATATATGTGTATATGAATGTATGTATTGTGTGTTACTGTGCTTGGTAATGTATGTTATATGTCGTATATAAACAAATTTTATATGACTATGTAGATATTATATGTACATAAGATCGTACATAAACGTACGACAACTATGTGTATCTGAATACTTAAATAGTTACACCTACAAGATATACACTTACAAGATAATATGTTACTCATACAAACTGCTGTAACCACTTGCTTAACAGTACTTGACAAAGCTATTTACCTTTCAAATTTGTAGTTTAAAATGAATTGTCAGAGATATGGGTTTACTTTAAGATACGATACTAGTTATCTTTTACAAGATACGATGTATTTTTTACTTTAAAAATATATAAGATATAGTAGTTTTACTTTTAAAAGATACGATTTTTAGTTTTACTATTGTAACATAAAATATAGTTATGTCCTAACAATAATGTAACTTTATTTCTAAAAGATATTATGTGAATTTTCCAAGATACGAAAGGTTGTTACAATGATCATACCAAGCTGTATCACATGATTTTTGCTATTTATGGTGACTAATAACCTTACTGAGATATACTTTTATTGTTAACATATAAATAATTCGATTCTTTAAGACTACGTTTACTGTAACACAACTGTATTCTAAAATGTACTTTATGTCAGTTATGGGTAAAGTATTAAGTATATGTCAGCTATGGCCAAGATATTATTGTATTTTTTATAAAAAATAAATTTTTGTACTATTATCAAGAATTGTTCTAATACGAAATAATTGTAAAGGCTGTACCAATTCTCATAAGAACAGCACCCAACTTTCCTTATTTAGGGTCAGTTTAAAATGTTTGTATAAATTCTTTGTACTACTACTAGTACCCATAAAAAATTTTGGTATGCGCTTGTGAGTTTTAAAATTTAAATATTTGAGTATTGCGCTAATTTGCCAAATTTGGCATTGCGTTTCAAGCACTTTTTGTGACTTCAGAGAAGCTATGCTTACAAGTTTAAACATGTAGGGTTCTGCGAAGGTTTAGAAAGATGATTAAAGCTATAAGCTTGAAACACAATGCCAATTTATAAGCTTGAAACACAATGCCAATTTGGTGGGAAACTCAAAACCTAATTTTTTGATCTTGTGAAGTCAATCAATGAGGGGCAGGTCGGGCGTTTTCTTCTTAGCATGACACAACAAAAACCTAAAATTTTTGTTTATAACTCTTTTCCTTCTCAATAAAGCTTTATCTTATGTCACTATTAAACTTTAAAAGTAAAAAAGTTGATAGTAACACAAAGAATACTAAGCTTACCAACATAAATATATTAAAATTTCGGTTAGTGACATTTGCATGTGTTACTTTTAACGGAAACCTACCGTAGTCGCTGCAGATTAAAAGCCGATTATGTTGGCTGCTGAATGTACTATAATATGTGAAGACATTGTTACATGTGTTAATCTTAATCTTGTTTTAGTGTTTGCATGGTATTCGAATACCTTAAATACCTACATTAATACAGCGATGAGTAGTATCTTAGATATACATTGATATAGCTATGACGGGAGTCTTAGATGTATATTATTACAGCGATGACTAGTTACTTAGATGTATATAGCCATCGTCTTAGCTGTCAATATAGTAATCACAGTCTTCTTGTCGTAGTCATCGATGTTACTTTACATTGTAATTGCTAATAGGTGTTAGCTTTTGTAATGTTTACTGCCATGCTATAGTCTTTTGTCGCAATTTGACCAACTTTTATCGTATGTAGATCACCTTTGATTGTGATGTTAACCATGCTTAATTATGGCTTTTTATATTCGTATCTTTGCATAATGATCTAATTACCGTAACATTTGCTATGACATTCTTTTTTGTACAAAAGAGCCTACGTGCTTCAGTAACTACATTCTCGGTTACGTGGTATACACACTCATTGATTAAATGTCGTATCTCCGTCACATCTTCTAAATATAAGTTAATATATGTGTTGGTACACAGATGTTGAGTAATTTAATACACACAGAAGGTAATGTATATTTACATAGTTAAACTAACATATAAGTAGGCTAAACATTAATATATAGGTATAGCTAACCGAACAAACACGTATTACCATTTACGTATGGTATGATGTTTATGCTACACTTCTAATTTTACAATGTAATTGCCATTTACAGTGTCATTTATGTCATGATTGTACCATAGCATTTTCCAAACATATGTGGACGATACGACAAGTTACGTAGTATGGGTTTGCAAGTCACATAATTACATAGTAAATGTAATTACATTGTTGTTGACAGTACGTCTGTATTATTACATTACCGTGAACATTTTAATCAGGTTATGCGGGTTGATTTGCTTGAGTTCGAGCTATTCTCGAAGTTTTGTGAGGCTGGGAATGCAACTTTGCTTACATTTTGTGTAAAACATGAAGAAAAAGTGATGTGACAACTAATTACATCTACATATAACAAGTTCCAAAGTGAAGAAAAGTTATGGAAAAATATGAAATCTCACGGTAATCCTTATTACTGGGTATTGTCAGTAATTGACAAAGTCGCACGATAGTAAAAAAGTTGCAAGTTTTGTTCCTTTGGGTTCGCTTGCTTTAAAGGACCAGTTCGCCCATTCAAATATCATTGGCATTCTGTCACAAAAAGCGTCGAAAATCAGGCAATTTCAATCAAGATCATTTTTCTCAAAAAACGTGAGTGGGTCGGTGTCGAAATGAATTTTCCAATTTGGGACCGACCTGCTCAGGTTTTTTGCGAAAAAAATGAACATCGAATTTTTGCGACAGAATGCCAATGATATTTGAACGGGCGAACTGGTCCTTTAAAGGCCTACAATACCTAGTAGTGAAACTTTGGCATTCTGTATCAAAAAATCAGGCAAGTTTGATATTCATTTTTTGCAAAAAGTTACGATTGGAATTGGCTGATTTTTTGCCACAGAACGACAACATTTTATCTGGAGGTTTTGGGATTTAAAATTTTAATTACAAGCTGCTTGAAGAACGCTAAATCTTTTCTAAAAATCTAGCTACAATACCCTTCATATTGCGGTTTGAAAAAGGCATTTATGGCTGTACTCGTCAATAGAAAAATATCGATCGAGTATCGAAAATTTAAAGGGGCGATATACCGAAATCTGACCGAAAAATTTAAGTATGAAAAGCTAGGCATTCTTTCTCAAATTCAAATGCATTATGCTTTTGTAGCTTTAAATTCTTGATTGGAAGTTAATCTGGCCATTGAGCCGCTGCTTTTAACAAAGTCCGATTCAGTTTAGTACTGTTATTCGAAATGAAACACTAGATTTTTTAACGTAAAACTTGGGTAGCATAACTATCTTCTAGAATTTTCTGTACATCGTACTTCACACCACATGAAGTGTCTACTACACTCTTAAGTTACTATAACATTGATATGTTACAAGTCTAAACAAGGTAGGTATTCTAAACTTGATTTTCACTGTTAATGCTTAGGGTAGTTGAAGCTACAAACTATCTAATATATTGTTTATATTTTTAGTTTTGTACCATTGATTTCAGAACTCTACTAATAATACTGTAACACAAAGCACTTATCGTGATATATCTTGGATTGGCATGCTAACTTTGTATTATCTTAAACATAGAGGTACCGTGAGATTAAATGACATACCGACATCACTTTCTCGTGATTTCAATTCGACTTATGTACAATAAGATTTAAGTGCAGTATCTCTGTTGTATTGTGTACTCTACACAACATGTAACGAGTATTACCTATACATTTACGTATCTTGTTTGTTTTGTATGATATACTTGAAAA